CATAGATCCTCAGAATAAGCAACCGATGTAACCTTGCATTTATTGATTATGTTGAAAGTGATACTCTTTTTGTTTTAGGTTTTCTTCTGCAAGTATAACGACCCGATTTATGTTAAGATGGAGAAGTTGGAGATTATGATTAAACTTGCCTCTGACAGAAACATAGACCAGGTATCCTCACTGAACTTTACCATCTGCTGTGTGTCTTGATTATTTTTGGTGCATATCTTTATGATTTTTTAAAAATGCTACTCTAGGTTCTTCTGGAATTCAAAGAGTATGCCACGGAAGTAGACGTTGATTTTGTTAGAAAGGCTGTTCGCGCGATAGGCCGATGTGCTATCAAACTAGAGAGAGCAGCTGAACGGTGCATCAGTGTTTTGCTTGAGTTGATCAAGATCAAAGTAAATTATGTTGTCCAGGAGGCCATTATTGTCATCAAAGATATCTTCAGAAGATATCCAAACACGTAAGTTGACATTTCTCAATCACTGTTAAAATGTCATCTTGAAATTCTTCTTTAATTTTAGTTATGCTATTCAAATTTTCATACAGATATGAGTCCATAATTGCAACACTCTGTGAGAGTTTAGACACTTTGGATGAACCAGAAGCTAAGGTATTGAACTTTCTTGCTTTGATTTGAAAAATTGAAATTTACCATCTTCATTCAATATTAAAGCACTGAATTCTGTATCTATTGGTAACTTGAAAGGCATCTATGATATGGATCATTGGTGAATATGCTGAAAGAATTGACAATGCGGATGAGCTTCTTGAAAGCTTCCTGGAGAGTTTTCCTGAGGAACCAGCACAGGTCCAGTTGCAGCTTCTAACTGCTACTGTTAAGCTATTCCTGAAGAAGCCAACTGAAGGCCCTCAACAAATGATTCAGGTTCGGCCTTTTCCTTGCTCACCACTGTTTTATGATCGATTCATGTGCATGTATGTGATGACAGGCATGTTTTCCGTTACACCTGATGTTTTCAGGTTGTCTTGAATAACGCTACTGTGGAGACGGATAATCCTGATCTCAGAGATCGTGCATACATATACTGGCGTCTTTTATCTACTGATCCGGAGGTGTGTGTTACCTTGATTTCTTATAGCTTTCTAGTAATCAGCCAGTCGAGAATGGATACATTCAGAATTGGTTATTTAAGCAACAAGAATTTTTCATCAGTTGAGGTTTCTCTTGAGATTTATTTTGCTGAACTCATCATTTCTCTTCATTAGGCCGCTAAGGATGTTGTTTTAGCTGAAAAGCCCGTGATTACTGACGACTCAAACCAGCTAGACCCATCACTTCTTGATGAGCTGCTTACAAATATTTCGACCTTGTCCTCTGTCTACCACAAACCCCCAGAAGCTTTTGTTACCCGCTTGAAAACCACAGTTCAGAAAACAGAAGACGAGGATTTTGCGGAAGGAAGCGAAGCAGGATACTCATCTAGTAATCCGGTTGATAGTGCAGCTTCCCCTCCAGCCACCACAGGTAATATCCCACAGCCTGCCGGAAGACAACCAGCAGCAGCGGTCCCAGCTCCTGTACCCGATCTGCTAGGTGACCTGATGGGATTGGATAATGCCGCTATTGTCCCGCTTGATGAACCCATAACTCCATCTGGGTGAGTTATGTCTTGAATAATGAAACTTTCTATTGCAGGGACTAGTTTATTAGATTAGATCAATTTTGGTTGCCTAGTTCATATTGAAGCTCATCGAATCTTATGAACTCGATCGCAGTCCTCCTTTGCCCGTTGTCGTGCCAGCTTCAAGTGGTCAAGGTCTGCAGATAAGCGCTCAATTATCCCGAAAAGATGGACACGTATTCTACAGTATGCTCTTCGAGAACAACTCGCAGACGGTACTTGATGGTTTCATGATTCAGTTCAACAAGAACACATTTGGCCTTGCAGCTGCTGGACCTCTTCAGGTAACACTACCTGAATTTACTTTTATGTCTGAAATTCCCAATCTTTGAAACCGATATCCATGTTTGTACTGTTTCAGATTCCGCCTTTGCAACCTGGAACGTCTGCCAGGACAATGCTACCTATGGTCTTGTTCCAGAACATGTCTGCTGGGCCTCCAAGCTCGCTATTACAAGTTGCTGTCAAAAACAATCAGCAGCCTGTTTGGTACTTCACCGATAAAATTTTACTTCATGCTCTTTTCGGTGAAGATGGTAGAATGGAACGTGGAACCTTCCTTGAGGTAACATAGCATTGTACCAAACTTCCTTAAAATTAGGACTGTTCGTATTGGTTCGGGTTTAGGAAAAATAGTGACGACTGTAAAAACAAATCTGTTAGAGATAGATTTATACAGTTTGGGTATTCATTTGGATATATCTTAATCTTTTCTCAGAGTTTAAGTTTAAGTTTGTTTTTTCATCAGACATGGAGGTCGTTACCGGACTCGAATGAAGTCCAGAAAGACTTCCCCGGGATCACCATCACAAGCGTTGAATCGACTATTGATTTGCTCACAGCATTCAACATGTTCTTCATAGCAAAACGCAAGAACGGGAACCAAGACGTGATCTACTTATCAGCAAAAGATCCACGAGATGTTCTGTTTTTGATCGAGCTCACTGCAATGGTGGGCCAACCAGGTCTCAAATGCGCAGTGAAAACTCCCACTCCCGAGATTGCACCTGTCTTCTTCGAAGCTTTGGAGCTTCTCTTCAAGGCTTGATGATTAACATTGTTGTCAAAAGGCTAAAACCAGACCTGCAAGGTTTCAGATTCTTTGTTGTTTTGTTATTTCCCACCTTTTTTTCTTCCTCTGAGTTTAGTGTATGTAATAAATCTCATGTTTGTGTTACTTCCGATTGCACCTTTTTGTAATGCTCACTATTTTCTTCTAATTCTTGTATTCGAACCACTTTTTTTTTTTCTTCCCGGGAATTACTTGTTTCTGTACCAATAGGGAAGATTAAACACCATCAAAGGACCAGATCACCAATGGAAAATCAGTGATCTAACTACATTGGAGCATTGATGATGCTATTGCTGGACAAGGCCAAAACTTTCAAACATTTCTTCTTAGTGATAGATACACTTCTGGTAGCAATTCTTGATTTTTTTTTCTCGTACTTAATATTTGGTAATCTGGATTGTGAAAAACAAATCAGAATTGATACTGGAAGCATGTGTTTTGTCATGAGGTGTGCAATTTGGAGTTTCTTTCAGGATATGCTAGCCACAGTTTGCATCAGAGTGAAATTGGTTACGAAGAAGGAAGATGATAGATGTAACAACCTTTTAGCGAGTAAGGCTTTACGACAGAATCCTTATGAAAAGCTTGAATCTCGTCGTCATATTCAATGGATGCTTCCAACAGTTCTCAGTAAATTCCGCCCGAGATAATCGAAGCCATCTGAATAATGATGTCGTTACTCAAAGCATAGGTAACCTGAAACACAAAAGCAATATCTCTATCTTAAAGCTTCTTCTTTTCTTTATGTGTTCTTGAGCAATCTCGAACTTAAACCTCTTCTTTCTGTACTTTTCAGGTGAACAAAACGCAAGGAGTTCAATTCTTTGCATGCATGTCTCAAGTAAGACCCTTGAAACTCTTTCAAACCCTTTTTGATTTCAGAAATCCTCCCATCTCTTTCATTTTTCAACTTAAGAAAAGGAGATATTTTTTTTATCTTCACTTGGAAAAGTGAACAGAGATTAGACCATCATTGTACTGAGAAAGCAGTTGCATCAATCATACACAAAATCAAAACAGAGGTAAGATCAGAAGAATTTCACCAGTAAGGTGTAATAATAAGCTAATGAAAAAGCTGATACTGATTAGACAAACTGTAACAGTGGAATCTAACTGTGAAAGTGGAAATGGATACTGATTGACACCAAATTTGACGTGAAGGAACAAATGCAAAATTCAAAACCTAACCAACATATACATGTAATTAGCTAATGTAAAAACTGGTACATAGTTAACATGTTACAACAATTGTGAATCGTGATAGAATAAATTACTTTGTACCATAGAGAATGTTTTGTACTGAGAAAGCAGTTGCATCAATCATACACAAAATGAATACAGAGGTAAGACCAGAAACATTTCATTAGTAAGAGGTAATAATAAGCTAATGCAAAAGCTGATACTTGCTTAAGCTGTTAGACCAACTGTTACAGTGGAATCTAACTTTGAACGTGGAATGGATACTGATTGACACCAACAAAAGTGATTCGACATGAAGGAACAAATGCAAAATTCAAAACTTAACAAACACATACACTTAATTAGCTAATGTAATAACAGAACTGAGTCTTTGATTATGGACCCATGTACTAGCTATTCTTAATTTATTATGGGTCCTTGTCTCTTTGTTTTTATCAACGGCTCTAGTGACTTTTAAAATTGTTTAACCAACACATACACATAATTAGCTAATGTAGAAAATCGTAGATAGTTAACATGTTACAACAATTGTGAAAGTGAAGTCTACTTATAAGGACAAAATTACATCAGCTACTGGTCTCCGTGCAATGGGGACAAGGTCATCGAAGTGCATCTTGAGGGATTCTTTTTTTTTTTTAGTCAACTTGGGATTGTTTTATCTTCATAGAAATTTGCAGGTCAGCATACTTATAGATATGCCTATTAAAAAATTGTCAATGGAACGCTCTTCCATGTACTAATATTAATTTATTATATATGGGTCCTCCTGTCTCTTTGTTTTTATCAACGGCTCTAGTGACTTTTAAAATTGTTTTTCTAATGATAGTTTTAGTTAATATCTGTCCTTAGTTTAGTTATTCAACTCTTAAACCATAAAAATTAATATAATTGTTATTGGATGACCACCAAGTTTTGTCAGAGCATCTTTGAGAGTATACATTGACTTTTGATTAGAGCGAGAAATAGACTTGAAAGGAGCAAAGTTTTGAGATCTCAGATTTACCTTTTTCTTCTTCTTCTTCTTCTTCTTCTTCTTCTTCTTCTTCGTCTTTTTCTTCTTCTTCTTCTTCTTCTTTTCAATCTTGTTGTAGACGACCATGGAATCTGAGGGTGAGGGAGTGTCACTACCGTTGATCCACGAGCATCTTATGATGCCTTGGAATGATCTGCGGAAAGGTCATTGTTGTGGACACTTCCTTGCTATCAGTGATGGCTATTACTGCAAAATCTGTGACTTCTTTGTTCACAAGAAATGTGTAGACGAGTCCACGGAATATATCGAACACCCACTCCACTCCATTCACACTCTGAAGCTTCTTCAAAGTAAACTAGAGTTTAGATGTGATGTATGTGATGTACGTGATGTCATGGGCATCGTGAATCTATGCTATCGTTGTGAGATCTGTGACTTCCAAGTGGATCTATACTGTGCAAAGTACCCACCGCCAGATTTTATTGACATGTCCGAGACGCATCAGCACAAGCTCACCCTTCTCAAGGAGGAGATCAAGTTCGACTGTGATGCTAAATGTGGGAAGTTTGGGTATGGGTTTCCTTACAAATGTCATGAATGTGATTTAGCCTTCCATATCGAGTGCGTATGGAATCCGCCGGAGGCAAAACACCTGTCAGAGGTAAACCACACTTACCACCCTTTACACCCTCTTAAGCTCCACACAGGTGACGTACCCCAATATTCTGATGGAAAATGTCGTCTTTGCTCAAGATATATTATTTATGATAAATTGTTTTATCATTGTTCTGCTTGTAACTTCAGCTTGGATATGCGTTGTGTTTTAAACCCACCACCACAATCTGTTATGGATTTGAAAGTTCACGATCACCAACTCATCTTGCGCCCAAGAATTGATTCTTTTACATGTAATGCTTGCGGGTTGACTGGAGATCGAAACCCTTACATATGTGTTCATTGTGATTTCATGATACATCAAGAGTGTCTTACCCTTCCACGCCTCATAAACGTCAATCGGCATGATCACCGTGTTTCTCGCACTTCTGTTCTTGGTGTTGTCAATTCTGTGTGTGGAGTTTGTCGCCAGAAGGTGGATTGGACTTGGGGCGGGTATTCTTGTCAGAAGTGTCCACACTATGTCGTTCATTCAAAATGTGCTACTAGAAAGGATGTGTGGAACGGGAAAGAGCTCGAAGGAGTTCCTGAAGAGACAGAAGATATAGAGCCATATGTGGTAATAGATGACAACACAATACAACATTTCAGCCACAAAGAGCATTACCTGAGATTTCACGTTAACGGTCTTTTCTGGGAGGAAAACAAGCATTGCAGCGCTTGTACCCAACCCATTTATCTTCAATCCTTCTATGGCTGTATCGATTGTGATTTCATGCTTCACCAAAGTTGTGCTAACTATCCTAAAAAGAAGTGGCATGTGCTACACAATGACCGGCTTACTTTAGTTACAAGCGTGGACAATACCTGCTGGTGTGACGCTTGTTACAGAGTATCTAATGGTTTCAAGTACAAGTGTGGGGAGACGGAGTTAGATGTTCTGTGCGGTTCAGTTTCAGAGCCTTTTGTCCATCCAAGCCATCCCCATCATCCCTTATATTACATTCCATTAGTGGGAAAAAAATTTTGCAACGGTTGCGACAATAGGGTATCTCATGCGCTTACGTGCATTGAAAGTGGTTGTGAATTTCACTTATGCTTCAATTGCGCCACTTTACCACAAGTGGTAAAGCATAGAGTAGACGATCATCCTCTCTCACTATGCTATGGCGAAAAGGCAAGTGGCATATACTGGTGTGACATTTGTGAGAAAGAAACGAGTCCAAGTACATGGTTCTACACGTGTAAAGATCACCGAGCTAGTTTGCATACAAAGTGCGTGCTGGGAGACTTTGCAGGGCTCATGCCAAGAAGCACAATAAAGCTTGAGCTTGACAACATATCATTGGAGGTGGTGCTCAATAGTAGTATGTCTCGTCCATTTTGCAGGGTGTGTGAGTCGCATTGCATGTACCCTATCGTCTTGAAGATGCTTGGAATCTCAGGAGGTCAATACATTTGCTCTTTATACTGCCTAGATCGTTTAGAACTATGAAAACATTCTCTATTTTCTTACTTCGGTACTTAAATATTTATAAATCTATTTTCAAATAAAGAATATTGCAATCTCTGTAATTTGTTTTGCCATTAAAATCTGTCTTTCAATAATTCTGTTTCTCGAAAAACCCAAAAATGTATTAGTTCTCATTTAATGAAGTCGATTTTTCTTTAACAGTTAACAGCCATCGTCACATGTCGAGAGAGAAATAGATTTAATTTGAGTAGATACTATCGTTGTTCTTCTACTTGTTGTTGTTACGATGCTTTATTCTATTTCTTTCGTTTGTGTGTTTTTCACAAGCTTCATTTGCTTCTACTCAAAACCATACTTGCTTATTATACCAAGAGACGACTCGCTGCAACACATAATTTTTTCCGAGAGTAGTAAGCTTGGTGAAGGTGAATTTGGTGAGTTTACAAGGTATTGTTGTATTTGTAGGCTACACTTTTCAGTGGAGTTGATGTTGCAGTGAAGAGGTTAGCAATATCATCAGGATTAAGTGAAGTCGAGTTCAAGAACGAGGTTACACTTCTTGTATAGTAGTTTCTACCAGATTGACGACGAGGTACATGACTTGATCACTGATGTGAGTTAAAAGCAATCAATTTACAAAGTGCCATCTAAAAATTGATTAATTAAGGCTGTAACTAGAACTTGAGATCGGACTTTTATGTGTCCAAGAAAAAGAAAATTCGAGTGACTCCACATGGAGGTTTATTCAGTTAAAATAAACAAGTTAAACGTTTTCACGCAGTCATATAGGATCGTATAGGTTTATATATTCAGTAAAACTAAAACATGGTTCAATTTGCAAACTCGATATTAAAGTTATGGATTCACGTAACTAGTCCGTACACAAAAATAGATATTTAAAACAAATTGCATAGACATATGTCGACATGAAAAATGAACGTGGCAAGGAGTTAAATGATCGAGTAGGCTTAGTTCTACTTCTCTATTAGCAAAAAGTAAACAAGAATTTACTATAAATACTATATACTAATTTAGTTATATGTTGTAACAGAAGCATTTTATAATAACATATTTTCTCTTTTGAATTGTAAGAAGAACAACATACAATGGCAAAGATTCAAAACTCTGTTTGCTTCACCGCCGTCTTGCTCATCCTCATATTGGTTTCAACCGGTAATTTAATCGATTAAGTCTTTTCATTCTAATCTTCTAAATACCATCAAAATGTTATATACATAATTTCCCCTCTAATGCTGATAATTGTTTTTGATATAGAGATACCAAAGATTGAAGGGAAAACATGTAAGCTTTTTAGAGGAGAATGTCCTGTGGATCCGTGTGAACCTGCAAAATGCGACGAATGTTGCAAAGCAGCGTTTGGGAAACAAATTTGTGGAAAATGCGAACAAGAGAGCACCGAATTACATTGTCATTGTCGCCGCTAAGCATCTGTTCTTGATCAGAACATGACGTGACAAACAAGCCTCATATTCATATATGTACTTAATGGGAGATGATGCACTTTTATTGATCACTACATGTGTGTGTGTTGTTTTTTTTTATATTTGGTGTGATGCTTATAAATTGATGTTGTACGCTCCACACTAATTATGTACCTTTGATATTATTAATAAAACTTTGTTTGATGTGTTTTTAAAATAAACTTAAAACAAAATTAATAATATGATCGTAAAAGATAAGTTGATCATCATGTTTACTAGTTACGTAAGTGTTCTTGTTCTTGTACATTGTTTCTAATTCTAAACACGTTTAAAAATAGAATGTCATACTTCGTAAATTAGGTCTTTTCATATATTCTTCTGAAGCAAGCAAGTATACATGTGGAATCCGAAATAACAAACAAGCACCAAAATTAACTACACTGTCATTTACTCATTTATGTCCGCTACTCATTCGATCTCGATATGAAAACATGAACCATCCATGATCCATGAAAAACGAGCCATTAGCTAATTACTCGTGAAAGCCAAACCAGAGAACGAGCAAGAGAGTGTTGTGTAGCAAAAGGAATTAAACGCGATGCTCACAAATTTTTGTTATTAATTACTCTTTCTTTTTCCTTTTAGACCATATAATGTCGTCATAAATGTGTTGCCTGCTTTTCTTATTACGTTTCTTAGAATTTAACAACCAGAAATTTTTTAATCATCATGTACTGACTGTAAGATAATCAACTCTAATATTTTGTTTTTCCTTGTTTTAAATGAAAATTTATATACTAAGCACGAATTCTAGACACTTTTTAATATGATAATAACGGATAGTCAACTTCATTAGTTTATAAAAATTTATTTTAGGATTGCAACAATTATGTCGACACTATGAGTTAGTTTCTAATATAACATCTACTATACATTTTTGCAGCAGTTTTTGGGGTATCCAAATCGGGTCAAATTTGTTTAATTTTGACCCGGAAATCTTCAATCGGATCTTTCCTTAAATTTTGGCAAAATTAAAAAACGAAAATAATTAATAAAATCTAAAATATATATACTTTCTCAACTAATTACTATATTTAAACGCTTTATTTATGGTATATTCTCCACGATTTTTATAGATAAAGAAATCAAATATGATGATTTAATGCTAATATAACAAATTTGCACTAATTTCCTAAAACCTCTCTACCTAATCTAAACATATATATATGATTCTTATTTCACTTTTATTTGATCTTATATTTATATTATTTTAAATTATTATAAAATATAAATAGTTAGTAAATTTTAGTTTTTTTTTTTCTGCATATGTTACATTTCAAATTTTTTAAAACGGACATATATTACTCAATCGATGAATAAAAATATGTGTGTAATCTATATTAACATTTTTAAGAACAAATTGAGCATTTAATCATGTCGTTATTTTATTCAGACCCGAAATTGAGTCATTCGGATCTTTCTTTAATTTTTACAATTATCTAAAATGGGACAGTATATCACGGGTGAAATCCTAATTAGTATTTTAAGATACAATTATAAATTGTTTTTACGGATTGGTCCAAAAACACACACTAATTTAAAAATATACATGGAAACTATTTGAAAGCAACTTTCAAATTAACTCGAATTATATGACATTTAAATAAAAGTGTTATTAAAAAAATAACAAAATGATGTTTAATTTCATTTTAGATTATATGGTTGGACGGGTTTGGGTCAATATTAATACGAGACAATATACCACATGTGAAATCCTATAAATAACAAATCAAAATACAATTATACAATCTTAAACACTAAACAAAACAAATACAACTTAAAATTTTTTTATTTTAGATACAACGCATGTGACCCGCGGTATACAACAAAAAATATTATACACAATAAATTCATCAATTTATAAAAATAAAAAAATCAAATAATTAACACGCGGTGTACCGCGGGTCATATCCTAGTCTTTGACATTATTGGAAACACTGATCGGCTAAATGTTACTCAAGACATTGGATTGAGTAGTATACCATAATTCTATTTGAGGTCAAAAAGTATTCAAGAGGTGGATTTTGAATATGAGTTTACAAGCCTTTACGAGATTTGGATTAAGATCAGTAAAGAGAACGACTTAACACTTACCATAGAGAAGATGGTGATCGAAAGCAGAGTGAAACAATTTGAGAAAAAAAATAGTTGTTCAAGCTTGGAAGACATCAGAAGAGAGTATCCTTTTGCTGTAAATGAGACTTAGAGAATAAACTCACGGAGGAACAAGAAAGTTATCAGGATGCTGAATAGTAGAACAAATAGTGTAGAACTGATATATTATGGAGTTGCTTATAAGAAAACGATTGAAGTAAAAAATATGCAATTGTACACAAATCACTCACCAAATGATTATATATCAGAGATCGATGTACTATAAAACCTGCCTATTCAAAAATATATCTGTTCAGTAAATATGTAAGCTTTTTAGTGGAGAATGTCCAGTGGATCCATGCGAACCTGCAAAATGCGATGAGTGTTTTTGGGAAACAAATTTGTGGAAAATGCTAACAAGAGAGCACAGAATTACATTGTCATTGTCGCCGGCCGCTAAGCACTTGATCTTGAACTAAATAACATGAACTATACAAACAAGCATCTTATGTACTAAATGAGAGATGATGCTACTTTAATTCATTTCTTTTAATCTTTAGTTGCGTAATAAGTGTTCTTATACAACTCTAATTAATCAAATGCATATTATAATTGATGCTAAACGATTTATATTTGTTTCATTAATAAGTGATTTAAAATAGTATCATTTATTATAATTGATGCTAAACGATTTATATTTGTTACATTAATAACTTATTTAAAATAGTATCATTTAGTTTGGTGATATAATTTAAATGATATTACACACTTTTTCTTTTAGTGTTAGCATGGTTTAGGACCAAGGCGGAAATTGAGAGACTAAAAGCAAGAATTCTTTTTTTTAGTAGGAACATAATGAAATGATGTTTTAGTGTAACTTAATTTGGAAATATTTTAATCGGTTAGACTAATCCACTATAACAATCCATGGACATTTTAGTCTATTTTTTTTGTCATCTAAATATACTCTTTCTGTTTCATATTATAGGATGTTTTAGCTATTTAATCTTGTCTAACAGTACAAAATGTTTTGGACAAAAAAATTCAAGCTGTTTCTATGTAAAAATTAAAGTTATACAATTTTATAACGATTTATATTCTACAGTAAATTTTTTCACTGGCCAAAATCTCTTTAAGTAAATATTAAATTATGATTTTAATATAAAAATATAGAAACAAAAAAGATTAATTAGTTTCTTAAACTTGTACTTTTTGCCAAAACATCAAATATTTTGAAACAAAGGCAGTATAGATGAAATTATACACGTCAGAAGAAAAAAATATCTCTAAAAACTAAACCGTCAGAAAAATATTGAAACCTTTGGAGACAATAACTTTAAGAGAGACAAAACATTTTGGCAAATATAAAAAAGTACCAAAACGTTAAAACTAATTTTTACAAATGAAATTATTCCTATTCACCGGTTCTTCCTCAAGATAGAAATTGTTTGATGTTGATGGAAACCAAAAAGTTCACTGAAAACTTTTGGTTTTCACATCTTTGCTTGATGATAGGTAATCTTTTGGTTCGATGAGTCTTTCTCTTGAGGTTTTGGAATCTTCTTGCGCCGACATTGGTAACATAGAAATATTCAACTAAAATCCGATCGGTCTCAAATAACTAACTAATCGGTCTCAAATAACTAACTAATCAGTCTCGACCAACTCTGGTTTTGAACTCGAGTAGGTGAAATTGGAAAGTCACCCAGCTACTTCACTTACCATTGCAGATGTGGAAGATTGTAAATCGACTAGTTAAAAGTTAAGAGAAGACATCAACAAAGGAATGAATAAAAATTTGCGATAAAACCTCAACCCAAAATAGCAGCCTATCAAAATATAACAGAATGAGGTCTTTTCGGTTAAGTCGACCATTGTCAAAGACCTTTGCTTCTAAATTTCGCGAATAGACTTTTTTTTTTTATCACTGATTCGTGAAGTCAAAAGATAGCGCATAAAAAATAAAAATATCACCGATTCGTAAAATCAAAAGATGACGCATAAAAAGAAATACACCACTAAAATCTTAAAATAAAACATATCAACCTAAATCCAACCAACAGCAATGGACTGTGGAAGCATTCGGTTATCGGTCGAACTATAATGCTCTTCTCCTCATGTATATATATTTTTCGTAATGTATTTTACATGACTTATTGTTATTTTCCCATACTACACGATATAGTAACGTATCCACGACATTCATATATATGACTACTTGTCAACGCTAATATATTCTTGATTTTCGAGTTCACAAGCATACTAATTTTAGAAAGAAGGAAGGTTTCACAGTAATAAAAATGAACTGTCAAAAAAAACTATTGGAAACATAAATGAAGACTAAAATTATCTATTTTTGTAGACTAAATTTCAATAGTTGTTCATTTACGCCAATTTTTTTACTCTATCATACATGTAATCAGAAACAAATACTTAAAAACGATCTAAAAATAAAACTAAAAAATGGGTAAAGTGTTCGATTGTATATATATATATGTAGAAGAATTTAGAATTAACATCAAAACCATATTTACTAACAAAAGATTGTTTCAAACAACACATATCTATAAATAAATATTAGTAATTTAACATAACGTTCATAGTCAGAGATTTAGACCATCATCTTCATTTTCATTTTCATTTTCATTTTCATTTTCATTTTTATTTTCATAGTCAAAGATTTAGACCATCATCTTCATTTTCATTTTCATTTTCATTTTCATTTTCATTTTCATCAGTTCCATCTTGGTTACATTTGTAATGATTAAATAAAACATGAATAACTGATATTCATTAAACTAAATAAATTTATTAAGTATAAAATATTTTAAAAATTATTTATTTATTAATTTTCCTAGTGAAATATAAGATTTTGTCGTGCTTTCATGACGAAATTGGAAATTTCTAAAGTATTTCCAACTAATTTTATTTTTATAGTAAACGCTTTATGCAGCTAATATTTTCATAGTATTTTGGTTTAAGAACTCATACTAATTTTGGAAAGAAGAATATTTTCATATTATTTAAAATGAATGTTAAAAGAAATTATCTAAAACGTAAATAAAGTTTTAAAATATCTATTTTTGTAAACTATACTTCAAAAATTCTCCATCTATGCAAAACTTCTTACTTTATCTTGCATGGAATGGAAGCTGATACGTAGAAGCGATTTAAAAATAAATTTAGTAAGTGGGTAACATATTCAATATATATATATCTATAATAACAATATTTGAGAAGTGTTTTTGCTGACGTGTCGGACTCTCGGCTCTTGTTGAGCCCTTGATTTTGCGTAATTACTTAAATACCTTCTATTAAATTAATTCGAATATTAATTAAAATTAAAAAATTAACTGACCCTAAAATATAAAAATTCGATATATTTTACATTTAAAAAAAATAGTAATATTCTTAAACACAAAAAAATGAAAAAAATAAATA